TAGCAGAAGAATGACATGACACTATGAACAGCCTTCCAAGACATCAGGTACAGTGTTTTCTTGAATGAGATGAATGCTATTCTGCCTTCTAATATTTCTGAAATTGATTATATCTTAATATCATTATTAAAAAGGGGGGCCTCCCCAGTGACGCAGCGGGTTGAAAGCCATGCTGTGAAGCTGTCTGCAGCCTCGGCAGTGCGGGTTTAATCCTGGCTGGCCAGTGAGAATCCCACATGGTGTCACAGACCCCTCCTGTCACGCCTGCTCCTCCTCTCAGCAGTGTATTTCAGTCAGTCTGCCTGTTCTGTTCCCCGCTCTGTCTCTGGTGAATCTTCTCACCCCCTGCACTTCTGGCCTGTACCCCAGTCCTTGTATCTATAAATAAATCTTAAAAAAAAAATAATTATTAAACAAGATTTGCCAGCTCCAAAGCAGAGAAGTTCTGAAATGGGAGACAATGCACATAGCTAACTTGACCATAAATAAAAGGGGAAATTTTCTTGTCACTTAATTGTGTTATTCTCATTGGCAGCACCACACATGATTAAGTCTAAGCCCTTAATTAATGCTCACAATGTCTTTAAAAAGATTCCACTATGATGTAGCATTATATAGTCAGCAACTGTCACAAATAGGCAATGCAATTAAAAGCATAGACAACTGCCAAATTTAGGCAAAAATCAAAGATTTTCAAAGGTAAGAGACTCTTACCAAGTACAAGCAGTACATGAAACATCTGTCAAAACCTGAGTTATCTTCAGAAGAAACTGTTTTATTTCGAGCAGTAATTCATACAACTAAAGGAAAAAACAAAACTAAAAAACAAAATTGTAATATTCTTCAATATGCCTCAAAATTATATGCTCAATCATAAAGACAAGAAAGAGGTTCATGATAATTAGTTCAGGCAATGAAAAGCAGCAAAGTAATCATGATGTAAGGTGTTAACTGCCCAAAGCCCAAAGTAATTTAGAAAAACCCTATTTTTTTGAAAGTGAATAAGGCTGAGATTCAAACTTACCATAACTGAAAAAATTGGTATAAAAAGAAATGGATAAATTATGCTATTGAAAGTTAATAAAAACTATATATTTATTTTTCTTCCCCCCTGAAAAACTGTTAGTAAACAAATGGCTTGCTTTAAATATAATGGTGTCATAGGAGTAAGAAGCTATGACAATTTAACTTCATCATTTTTAATATCCATATATTAAATTACAACATGTATATATACCATAATCTATCCCCTCTTGATGGGCATTCAGGTTGTTACCTTTTTCCTATTACACATAATGTTTTGAACAATAATAACTTCGGGGCTTCCCTGGTGGCACAAGGGGTTAAATCTCAGCACTATCAAGCTATCCACAGCACGAGTTCGATCCCTGGCCAGGGAGGTGGCCCACATAGCCAGCAGACCTCTCCTATCTTGCCTGCAGCTCTCCTCAGCAGTGTATTTCAGTAGATCTGCCTGTTCTGCTCCCCACGCTGGTGTATCCTCTCACCACCCCCCCACTCCTGGCATCTCTGGCCTGCACCCCAGCTCTTGTATACATAAATAAATAAATCCTAAAAAAAAAAACCCAACAATAATAACTTCAATATACTGGTTCTGAGGATGGATGGTAAGCTCTTATTCATTTCTTATGTTTCACAGCTTGTATATAACATTCCTAGTACATATAAAAATTAGTTCAGAAAAAATGCAATAAAAATTCTTGCACACATAATATTGAGCATTTTCCTTAAGATAAATTCCCAGAAGTAGAACTGTTGGGTCAAAGAGAATGAAATTCTGCCACTTACTGTAAGGTTGCCTTCTAGAAAGGTATACAAGGTATGGTCAACACCGAAATGATCAAATCTTAGCAATCTTTGTAACACAATGCACGAAAATTCAAACTTATAGCAGGTAGCAAGAATTTTTAAAGGAACTATTCAAAGCAAAACAGTATTACCTCTTTAATCCATGCTGTACTGGTGCTAGATTAATCTTCCTAATAAGCAGCTCTGATCATGTCACTTCCTACTCCGGACCCCTCAATGATTTCTTTAACTTAGTGGTTAAAAGTAAGAGCTCAGGAGTCAAACTGCCAAATCCCAGTTCTACGGCTTTCTATTTGTGTGATTTCAGCAAGTTATTTGTCTGCCTCAGTTTTTTGATTTTCAAACGTAGGCAATTATTTAAAATGTAAGTTTAATACATGCCAAATATTTAGAATAAGTGTCCAAATCAGTAAATGTTATGTGTGACACACTTTTCTCTATCTTACCCCGACTTTCCCCATGCACCTTATCCTCTAACCCAGCCAAATTATTTGTTCAGTTTAACATGCCTTGTGCTTGTCTATTTTCATGTTCTTACTCATCTTGTTTATTTTCATTGGGAGAGCCCCTGTCATATTCCTTGTAGAAATTATACCCTGCCTTTAAGGTGACATTCAAATGCTTCCTTCATGAAGATTTCACTGGACTGTAAGCTGTTATCCTTCCCCTCTGAAAGCCAAATGTACTTTGCATGGTTCAAATAAAATATAATGTTTTTGCCCTGTTCTTCAGTTTGTCTTATTTTTCCTACTAGGTCAGATTTATAGAATGAGTTGTCTTGGAGAGGTCTATATACATCCTAACACACACCAGGCACAATAAACATATATACGCTATATCTGGTGTGTGTGTGTGTGTGTGTGTAAAAATCATTCCTCACAGGAAGAAATAGATCTAGAGAGGTAAAGTGGCCTAAGGTCATGTAGTCTCAGCTGAAGGTCATATTGGGATTGGACCACAAGCAGCCAAGGCTCTTCTCATCATACCTGATCTTGAACTTTCTAAGGGCAGGGATCATAACTCACTTATTCTTTGAATGGATATTTAAGTCGTTAGAATGGGGCCTCCCTGGGCAAGGAGTTAAGCATCAGCACTATAAAACAAACGGCACCTACTTCAGCATGAGGCATGAGTTCCATTCCCAGCCACAGAGGTGACCCACATGGCCAGGGAGGTGACCCACATGGTACAGCAGATGTCTCCTGTCTCACCCACTACTCCACTCAGTGTATTTTGGTCAGTCTGCATGCTCTGCTCCCCACTCTGTCTCTGGTGAATCCTCTCATTCCCTGCACCTCTGGCCCATACCCAGTTCTTGCATGTATAAATAAATAAAAAAAATCATTAGGCTGAACAGACAAAACCTCCATTTCTTTGAAAGTTCAGACCTTCATCAAATAGGCAAATGTCAGAAAATGCAAACAAATACTGTTAATACCTTGTCCAATCTTAGGGGAAAAAAACAGGTGGCATTACATAATAAAATTTCAGTCTTAAAAAGATGGCCTGTCTCAATGCTTTGGCAGTTATGCAAAACAGCAGCAGCAGTAATAAATACTCTTTCTTTCCTAGTAGCACAGTCTTAGTAGTTTAGGTAGCATCATAAAAAAAAAATCTGCTAATCTAATGATAATTTCAAGTCACTGTCTAAGAATTAATTTACCTAAAGTAAAAATTATTGCCATTTCCACCTGGTAAAAATATTGTTCACTAGCTAAGTAACTTTTGTGGTCTACAGAATTTCCCCACTAATCTAAATATAACACCTATAATGAAAACAAAGTAACCAGAGTTGGAATTGTTCCATGGCTGTATTGATATAGAATAACAAGAACTAGCATGAAAAGCAAAAATTAAAAAAGCTCAGCCTTAAAGAATGAAATACAGATATCATGTAAAAAAAAATTAAAAGTAGCAGAATTTTTTTTTTTTTTACTTATTGTTGGGGAGTGGCAAAGCATATTCAATCAATAGGCACAGAAAGAACTCCCCCTTCACAGCAAGTACCATGATCTAGTTTCCCTGCAGTAGCACACATTCAGAAGAAGACAATGCTACTTCTTTTACAGTTAAATCAAATTCCTGCACTGCCTCAGGAATCAACTAGCCCATTTGACCTATCCCTCAACTTATTAAAGAAGCTACTTTCCTTGAAACAGTCACGCAGGTAAATATTTTAGCAGTGAACAATTCATTCCAGTTACACCGTCCTACCTTTTTTTCCTCTTGGAAGAAATATGATAAAAATTTAAACTTTAATAAATAATCCATAAAGGCCTGGCAAGCCTCATGATCCCGGACATTCAAATCCATTTCCCAAACTAGAGTAATTTAGTATATGTGTGTTTGAGACTAATTCTGAGACTAGAGTTATGAGTAACTTCTACACGACGATGGCTATTTTAAACGCGACATTAACATATGGGTCGACAAATATTAAACTGTGTTCCCTTATAAAATAACTTGCAACTGGCGAAGTCACAGAATGGGGTTAAATCAAGTCACCGGAGTCCTCCTTTGATCTTTAAGTTCTTTTTGAACTTACAATAAACAATGTTCTCTTAATTCTCTTTCCTTTATTTTGGCTTTACATACACACTCTTACTCCGTATAGATCCCTCCACGCCTCCCACCTCTTCAAACTACGAACGGAGCTAACAGTACAGTGGACTGCAAACAGAAGTGCCCAGGATTTCTCCAAGGGTCTATCCAGGATGGGGTCCAGGATGGGGTCCCCCGGGGATGCAAAGACCCGCAGCTCTCCCTGTAATTTTCCTTGAGAACCACCTCTCGCTTCTCTCCCTTGCTGCACGCCGCTGGCCCAGGCGTGCTGGGGCGAGGGGTGGAGCGGGGAAGGAAACAGTCCACGCCAGGCCTCCCACGCGGCCAGCGCTCCCCGGCCTGAGCTGCACCTCCAAGGCCGCGAGGCCGGCGGCTCTCCCTGCAGCCCCCGGCGCGGCCAACCCGCGCTTCCCCAGGGCAGGGCTCCGCGCAGGTCCGAGCCACCAGCCAAGTCGGGCCCGCACCTCGCCGGCTCGGGCCGCCCGTCCGCCGCAGCCCCTGGACCCCCGCCAGCGGGGATGGGCGTGGGCCCCGGCGGCCACCGCCCCGCCAACTCGGGCTCTGGCGGGGAAAGTGCGCCCCACCCGCTACGCCAGCCCCGGACCTACCTGCAGGGGAGAGCGGGGCTCCTGGACAGCGGCCACGGGCCGAAGGCGCCCGCTGAGGCTGCCGGAGCCCGTCCCGGGGACCCCAAGTCTCTCGCCGAGAGCAGGGCGGGGAGAGACGCCGGGGGGCTGCCGCGGGCCAGCGCGGCCCGTCGCGGGGGTCGCGGGGACCTGGCTCTCCCCTCAGCACCCGGCCGCCGCCGCCATTTTGCCTTCCACTCGGTGTCGCCGCCGCCGCTCCGCCGCAGGTTTCCCGGATGTGGGCATTTCCCGGCGTCGCTTGCGCGGGGGCCGAGGACTGGGGGCTTCGGGCCGCCCGGCCGCGGGGAGCCAGCGCGCCTCCTGTGGCCTCCGCCCTCAGCCGTCGCCCGCGCCTCGGCCCGCCGCGTCGCCCGTGTCGCCCCCGCCTGGCGCGGCCCGGGTGACTCGCCTGGGCTCCGGGATCGGGCGCCCGCCCGGCCCGCTCACTCCGGGCGCCTCAGGGGAGCCTGTGTCGGCGGCTGCCGTCGCTGCAGGAGCCCGGCGAGCTGCCGGCTGAGGGCGAGCCGCGGACGCTGGACTCGGGGCTTCTAAGACTGATTTTTGTTAAGCCTCTTTCCCCGAGTAACTCTGAGCTTAAGCTTTTTTTTTTTTTTCTGAATCAGATATTGTCTTTTAAAAAAATTATTTTATATATTTTACATCATTTTCCATTTTTGTACAATGTATGAATTTTCATCTTGGTTATAGTCCCCGTGAAATCCCCACCCCGCGTTCACCGTGAACATCACCGCAGCCCCTTGTGCTCTTCCCACGGTTTTATCCTACTCCCTTCTGCCCCCCCCACCCTATGTCTCTGGTTTATAGTTGCCTGTTCATTTTGATTTTTACTTTATTGTAATTACTTTTTTTTTCCTGATCCCTTATTTGGATCCCCTACATTCCTCCTATAAATGAAACCATCTGGTATTTTTCTTTTTCTTTCTGGCTTATTTCACTGAGCATGATGCCTTCCAGCTCCATCCATGTTGCTGCGAATGGCATTAGTTTCTTTTTTGATTGCTGAGTAATAGTCCATTGTGTATATATACAAATAATATATTCTTGAGCCAAGACATTAAGTTGAGAGGTTTTTATCTATCAGGAGGATGTGTAGAAGTCATTATTGTCAGCATTGACGTAACGGTGCCTGTGAAACAGACGGTTTTAATTTTTGTTGAATTGGATTGGAAGATGTATTAAATTGGGACGGAATTACTGGGTTGATGGTGTTAGGTCCAGCTTTGTAAAGAGCACACTGCCAATTCTCCCTGTAGAAAATCTTTACGTGTATTATTTTCAAATATCTCATTTCGTTAACTAGACTGTTGCCAGCTACTGTCCCCCAAATCCAATGACAGACTTCAGTATCACTTTTCATTACCTTTTTAAAAGCCCGATCAGATAGATTCTAGTTATTCTATTCTTTTCCCTTCTCACCACCCCCCTGCACTCTTGCTATTACCCCCCACATGCACACCTTCAATATAGTGAAATAACGAGTGTTGGGGTCTGTTTTTAATGCTGAGATAACTAGTTTAGGATGTCACTGTTAGTTATTTAGTACATATTGTGGTTCCAAACGAGCCGGTGAAATAATTTTAAGTAGTTGCATATTAGGATTCCCCTAGGTTTCATATCTGTAAGATATGCTTCAGACCACCAAATTAGTCTGAGTTAGATACTGTAAATATAAATGGAAGCTTGCTATAAGCTACCCACTGGTGAACTTATTATGCTTCTTAGAAGATTCTGGAATGGATTATTAAAAGAATATTTTCAGTACGTGATAAGTATTATTCAGAAAGGACAAGGAACTTCCCAGTTATGCCAAATTTTGATAGGATAACAGCTATGGCACACATGTTTTCTCACTGTAGTCTTGCAAACAAAAGGGGGCAGAATGTCAGTAGATTCGATTTGCTTATAAATATCTTAGTAAGTGTAGCCAAGTACAAATGTTTTATGTCTCAGTGATAATTGTGAGGATCCCAGGAGTCCATTTAAGCAATCTTCTAATGGAATGATAGTATAGAGAATATGCAATTCAGAAAATTAGCTTCTAAAAAGATCCAAGTGGAGTGTTAGTTCTTTCCTATAAGGATCATGTAAAATTTTTTTATTTTTACTTTAATTTTGGGGTTATATTTTTTCTCTTCTATATATGCATGTCCCACTCACCCTCCACCAAACCACCTGTGCCAATACCTCTCTACCACACTCCTCTGTTCCCTCATTTGTGAAAATTTATGGATGGTAAGTTTGACTAATCAGCACTTAATGGAACGCAACAAGCCAAGAAAGCAGTAGAAAGGTCTATCATACCTGAATCAGGATGGTAAGACTTATATTATTCTCAACAAGGATTGCACCACCAGAAAAGTTATCAGTTTGGAAATCACTTATTAAAGATCTTTGGCAATTTTTTTTTTAAAAAAAGGAAAAACAAGATTTTTTGTTAGTTCTTCTTACAAAGATTCAGTGTTACCAGAGATCAGGTACTGTATTAAACATTGTTAACAAGACACTAAGGGGCCCTGTTCTTGAGGTTGTGGTCCAGTAGAGGGAGACAGGCTGACTAACACAAGGCTGTCAGCATAACAGAAGTTCAGCATGAAGGGCTTTTAAAGCAGTTTAGCCCTGATTGTCATTTTTCTTGAGAAAATGACACCTAAAAGGATTCCAGAAGGAAAAGCAGAGTGTAGCCAAGAAGGGCAAGAAAGACAGGGAAAAGAATCTTGCCCACAAGAATCCATTGAAGGAATTAAAATAAAAATACCTCCAAAAGCTACAATACATAGTTTTGAATATGTGATGAAAAGAACTAGTTTTTTTGTGGCTCCTGGAGAAAGACAAAGCAAATTTCAGTTCAGTATATGAAAATTCATTTATTTAGTGAGATCTTATAGTAAAGCACTCCAATGTAATGCAAACTCAATAAATTGATTCTGTCTCATAGGAGGTTCACAAGATCATTTTATTAGCCCATAGCAACATGATCCTACCTTTCTTACACAATTCTTTTGGGTCCCACTTACATTAAAACCCTGATAAAATGCTGGATCCATTAAAGCTGTCCAAGTGAGTGACTACCCTGGGAACTGTTAAACTTTATCACATTTTCAAGTAGGGGTTAGAAAATAATTTGTTGGAAATGCCGTGGAAATGATCCAGGATAACTTCTACCTCTAAGACCTGTAGCCCTCAAAAGAAACCCCATTTGATAGTTTCATGAATAAAGGCAGTGACAAATTCATAAACTAGGGTATTATTTATACTCCATAAAGTTTCTTATTAAATCTGGCAGAACTCATAGATTGACAGGAAATAACATTATTCAAATATCCTTTCTTTGATCATGGTTGCAAATAACCCTAAAAGCAAAGCTTCAAACTAAAAACTTGTTTCCAGTCCAATCTAGTGTTCTAAGCCTCTATATCTGGCTCCCTCCATCAATTATCAATGATCAAAGGAAACTGCATATATTACTGTCAGTATATAGAGGGGTGCTACCAACACATATGAAACCCTTAAATTCTCAGCAGCAGACAATGCAGATGAAAGCTGAGATATAGCTTGCCATTAACTGTTCATGGAAAATGTACCACCTGGGAGCTAATCTTCAGGAGTGAGGCTGACTCTGGGCCTACCCAGAGGGAGGATTTTAGCCTGCTAAGTAGAATGTGGAGTACCTGTTCCTGGTAGAGAGAGGGACTCTGCAGCTTAGGCAAGGCAGTCATATGACCGGAACTACACAAAGTCAAGAGAAAATTCATAGCTATGGTGTTTTGATTAAATCCATGTATTTACTGATAGGAAATATGCAGCTACAAATACACCATGCGTATTTCATTTTTCCAAAAGTTTATACACATTGATGAACTGAAAAAGGGTATGGAAGACTATTTGTTGTCTCTGAGGTTATAAGTATTTAAACTTTTCTTTTAACTATGTTTGTTTCTATAATGAGTTACATTTGTAATAACAGAAAGTCTTAAAATTTAGCCCCAGCAATAAAACTATAAACAGATTAAAAATTCCTATCAGCAACATTTCTTTCTGTTCTGATTCTTTGGAATTCAAAGTTACTAATGATCTTTAATGAAATATTTTTGAACCAAATACACACACACGTAAAAGCAGGTCTATATTTGTATTACTTTTAAAAATGTTGACAAAAGCCAAAACCCAAAAACCCTGAGGGAAGGGCATAAAATATTGAAAATATTTATTAGGATAGAAAAGCAAAAATTTACCATAATTACTGTTATTGGAATTATGAAATAAACACATATTTCAATTTTGTAATAGCAGTGATTTGTCATAAAGGTCTTCGTTAGCTCAGTAACACATTTTATCTAACAAACTTTGGAAAGACAATGTCATAAATTGTCTTAACACACTACATGTCAAGTCATCATTAACATTTCAGGTAGGCATACAGATGGCAATCTTCACTGTTACCACATCATCTTATTAGTCTCATACATGTTACCTATCAATGTTAGTTTCAAAGTCAGTTCACTCATTAATGTAAAATTCTATCTTATTGCACAATGTCCAGTTTGGCAATTTTCACTATGTTGCAAAACTAAATAAAGGCAAAAGTCCATAGGAAAAATGTATTTTTCTTATCAAGAAAAAGAAAGTTGGGTCTGAGTAGTTGGCATAGTTCTGTTCAAACATATTCTAATAAAGGGATCTGTCAAAAGATTTTCCCCTGAAAAGAATTTGAACATTACAAAAAGATTTGTCATTTTTGCTCTATATTGCAAAAATGTCATTTTGTTCAATTTTGAAAAGGTTTATTAAGATTACTAAGAAAATAAAAGGTTGTGAAAAGGTTGATGAAAAAACTTGCAATTAAAAGAAGAAACTAACACTGGCTAATGCCACTAGAGAGGGCATACACCCCAAATACTGTGATAGAAATAATAGAAACCCACTGATGGTTTGACAGTATTAAGTCCCAAAAAACCAGAAATGAGGACTTGGCTCCATGAGCTGACCAGAACAGTTTGGTAGTACATTCATCAGCACCAGGATCCCTCTGATATGTTTCCACACCTTGAATTCTTTTGCAATCTACCAGATTCTAAACTGTTACGGCAATGTCCAACTAAAAAAAGCCAAATCTAGGCACTGACATTATCAATGCTTTACAGATGCTCCCCTGCAAATTTCACATCTTTCAATAATAAAAATTTGCATAGAAGTTGGACTTTGAAGGTTATATTTTTATCTGAAATTATAAAATTACAGTATTTCTATGAAAAAAGTTGTCTAGTAACATAAATTGCTTCGGCATCAGTCCCACAAACAAGACAAGGACCTAAGACATCCAAACTGTTGACAGACAAAGTCCTACTGGGAAGCAAGCTTGTGATTTCAATACGGTCTTTTGCAGGATCGGTGCTGAGCCAGGAGCTTATAATAGACTGGTGAGCATTAGCCTGGTTACTAATGCTATGAGACAAAAAAGTACTACTTCTTCCTCCTATGAGAAAAAAAAAACAAAAAATCTTTCAAGATAAATTTTATGTTGGTAAACATCTGTAATTCTGATATTTTTTAAGGTAATGATTTAAACTTGTTTGATTCTCAAAATAACAGACTGACAATTCCACTTTTACATACCACCATTTTTTGACTAATGGCTAATTTAGTGATATTAAATACTCAAATTTCCATAGTATAATACAGATATCAAATCTGAAGTCATCAGGCAAAGTAGTATTTTTTTTTAAAGATTTACTTATGCAGGCCTCCCTGGTGGCGCAAGGGATTAAGACACAACCTACGAAGCTATCTACAAGCCATTGCAGCATGAGTTCGATCACCAGCCAGGGAGGTACCTACATGGTGCAGCAGACCTCTCCTGCTTTGCCAGCTGCTCCCCTTGTTTCAGTCAATCTGCCTGTTCTGTTCCCTACTCTGTCTCTGGTGAATCCTCTCCACCCCCCAAACTCTGGCCTGTACCTCAGTTCTTATATGCATAAATAAATAAATCTTTAAAAAAAATACTAAAATTTGAAAGAAAAAGAAGATTTACTTATTCATACAAGAACCTACACGGCCAGAGGTATGGGGGTGTGTGTGAGAGGATTCACCAGGGACAGAGTAGGGAGCAGAACAGGCAGATATACTGAAATACACTGCTGAGGGGAGCAGCAGGCGAGGCAGGAGAGGTCTGTTGTACCATGTGGGTTGCTCTTTGGCCTGCCAGGGATCGAACTCATGCTGTAGTAGCTGGCAATAGCTTGACAGTGCTGTCTTTAACCCCTGCGCCACCAGGGAGGCCCCCAATACTTAGCACAGTAGGACCACTGTGCTAAGTTTCCTATCTGGTCTCCCTGCTTTTACTTTGCCCTCTCTCTCCCCCAAGAGAGAATGACATAGTAGCCACAGTGAGTCTTTGAAAACATAAACCAGGCAGTGCCATTTCAGGCTCAAAATTCTCGAAAAGGGAATAGCTCTCTATCACATTTAGAATTAAAATCTAAAGTCTACAAAGTCCTGTTCCACTGCTATCTCTCAGCTCCCCCTACTCCCCACCATGCTCTAGAACTACAGCCACACTGGCCACCTTGCTGTTCTTTGGCCTATCTCAGGCCCTTAGTATATGCTGTTTCCTCTGCCTGGAAGGCTTTCATGTGACTCATACTTTCACTTCTTCAGGTCTGCCCTCAAATGTTATCTCAGCCAACTAACCCTGCCTTATATTAGCATAATCTTTCTCCCTCTTAATTCCTTATCCTCCTCCATTCCAATCTTCTTCAGTTATCAATGTATTTAGCCCAGTTCTTACCCTTTTTGTTCTCAGTCCTTTTCCCACTGTTGCATGCTCTGTTATGTACTGTCAGGACAATTTCTATTTTCCAAGCCCCCTTGCCATCTGTTTGCCTCCCCTGTTGTGGACTCTGCCAATGGGAGGTACTACTGTGGGTGGTGGGGAGGGGGGCCGGGGAGTGGGAGCTTTCTTCTGCTCCATATTTCTGGCAATGACAAGAGTGGCAGTAATTCCAGTCCTGGCTGAGGCGCCACCTTTACTGCTGATCCACAACCAATTCTGACAGCACTTCTAACACCACAGCAGCAGAGGTTTTAATACTTTATTTCTGGGGACTGTGCTTTCTTCCCATTTGCTCTTCTAGTATCCTTCTAGTCCCTTTTTGTTTGTCTAACCCTTCTAATACACATGAAACCAATTCCTTCTAAATCTAGAAGAGCTTGTCTTCTGATTGGACCTTTACCGAGACACTATTCATAGACTGCTAGTACATTTACTCAGTATGTGTAGGCATTTTGTTTTGCTCATTGTTGCAGGCTCCAACACCAAGGAGAGAGCATAGCTAATGGTAGGCATTTGATAAACATCTGCTGAACTGAATGAAGATATGAACTTTGGAACCATAGATAACTCAAAAGCAGGAAGCTTGGAAAATGTCAAAAACAAAAACAAAACCTCTTGATTTCATGATCATTAGTGTAGTTTCTAGCTGACCTTTACTTACTTTTGTCCTTCATTAGGAGACAGGACATTTTAGTTTGAAGAGAAACCAGGCTCTTAATACAGAAAAGACCAGGCCTCCCTGGTGGTGCAAGAGGTTAAGTCATAGTACTAGGAAGCTATCCGCAGCCACTGCAGCATGAGTTTGATCCCTGGCAAGGGAGCTGACCCACATGGCACAGCAGACCTTGCCTGTCTCACCTGCTGCTCCCCTCAGCAGTGTATTTCAGTCAGTCTGCCTGTTCTGTTGCCTGCTCTGTCTCTGGTGAATCCTCTCACCCTCTGTACCTCTGGCGTGTACCCTAGAGTTCTTGTATGCATAAGTATATAAGCCTTAAAAAAAAAAATACTGTAAAGACCAACTTTTGTCTTTCCATACACCCTACCTAGGCAGGTGGCAATGTAAAAGCTGTCGAGCCTACTGTCTAGCCCAAGGGCCCAGGACAATGTACTCACTAACAAGATCCCTGTCATCTGAAGTCAGCCAGTTTCTACCACTTGTTATCACCAACAATTAACTGAGAGTTAGATTTCAAGCCCTAAGATACTAGAATTACTGCCCCTGAAGGAAAACACTGTCATTCGTCAATGTTAAATATATCGGAATTATAATTTATTATTTAAACTATAATAAAATTACAAGTACCTTTATTAAAACTTTACCTTGGTGAAAAAGTGATGACTTTTCAGGTACGTCTGTTGAGGCATCCCAATGCCAAAGGGAGCCATCTTCAGAACAAGTAAATAGATGATCTGGGTTGGATGGGTGAAAATGAACTTCCCACACTAAAACACAACCAAGAAGTTTATCCCTGGGCAGATTATTTAAACAAATATAAAAAATTTGTCTCTAGGCATCATCTTCCAGTAACATCCAAGACATACCTTAAGTCTGTGATTAGAATTAAAGGTTTCAGAATTAAAGACATAATACAACTCCCCAGATGACTGTAACATGTAGACAGGATAAGAAGCCGAATAAATCTACTCTGTATTGGACCAGCAAATGAATGAAATGTCTGTCATATGACCCATTAAATTTTTTTGGAAAAGTATGAAGATGGGATAATTCTGCAAAGATTTTTCAAAAACAGAGAAGTTCTCTTATCTTCCATTCTGCATCATTAATATATAAAGATTATATTAATGGAAAGACAGAGAGAACTATAAAAGTACTGTACAAATAAATTTCTAAGACGTTGAGTCCAATTTTGGCTCATGCCAAGACCCTGGACACTCCTGGCCTAAATCACACAAATAGCAACTTGCTCCTAGTCAAGCAGAACCTGGAAATGCTCCAAGAATTTAGATCCAGTTTTAGATGGAGGGCTTTTAAGAAGCCAATTTAGGACTGGAGACCCCTTATGCTGTAGGGTTTAAGGGAACTCTGTGTGCCAATAGACATCTGGTTGCCAGTGGCCACATGGATTTCTTAGGACATTATCTGCAGCATGTTGATAAAATAGGAGGTCTCTGAACAAGGGTTTTGAGAACCTGGGCTCGGTGACCTTTAAGAACCAGCACAGCAAGTGCCTGGGGTACAGCATAAAAAGTATAAGGCACAAGTTTACAAGGTGATAAATTTTCATTCTGACAGTTACCCCATTAAACCCAATGGCACAAAACAAAAAGAAGGCTACCTTCCTCAGGGGGGGGGAAGAATGTGTTCTACATGGGCGCTTATATGAAGAACTTTCATTCCGTTTTATGAAAACAAAGTGAAACCAAATAGCTTATGGAGTCACTGGCAAACTGCCCAAATTTAGACTCTTAGGTATCTACTTTCAAACCTCTATAAAACAGCTTATTTCATCTCTAGCCAGGAGTCAGGATGAATTCAAAATAATACATTCAAGTCAGGACATTCACATGTGTTGATTAACAATACAGGCAGGCAATTCAAAGGCACTGGTAAGAAGATATCTGAGTGTTTGTAATTCTAACACCATGGGGGAGCCTTCATCAGACCCTGAGGACATCCCTCTTTGTTCTTTTTTTCCTGGACATAGCTATACTGTACCTAGAAGAAGCAAAGTTCTTTCTGTATTTTTATTTGCTTTTTAAATATAATCTTAAGTCAGTTATTTTCCTCAGTAGTAATACATAGCTTACTTGAACTGAGAAGTATCAATACTGGTGTAGTATTCACCTTTCTGTACTTTCATTCAAGTTTTAATACAAACTTCTCTTAAATCAGAATTTAAAAGTGTAATTCATTCTGGCATGATATAAAAACCCAGTGATAAAGTGAAAAATTTCCATCCAGCCAAAAAATTCCCACCAAAATCAAGACAAACATAAAGAAAATTACTAAAGTTTCTATCTACTATTCTGGTATTAAAAAAAAAAAGGTACAATAATAAACTGAAGAACACAGATGAGCAAATATTAAATAGCCTACATTTGCATGGTAAAAGGACATTCTCATCCACTAAGTATGGCAAAACAATCTGGTATTATTTTTATGTATGTACAACAGCTTTAAAATCATGCAAAGTTTCTGGCTCATCACGTCTACTAGTAAAACATACTAAGAAAATGAGCATAAAAAGATGGATATATAATATAATCACTGCAGTTTGGATGTAATAATGAAACATGTTAAGGAATTTAGATGTGGGGAAAAGGGCAATTAATTACTCCAACAAAAGGCTATGATGTAAAATTCTCCACATGTATCATTTTGGAGCGCTGCTGACAATCGATCACATAACTCACCCAACAGAAACTTAAGCCACAACACTTACTTTCAGCTTCATGAGCCTTCAGCAGAGACACAGGCATAGTACCTTGTCTAACATCCCAAATACTCAACATTCCGTCCTGGCCACCAGTAGCCACGACATGCTGCTGGTTGGGGTGTCTGTCAACACAGTGGAGTGGTGCTCGGTCACCGGTCCTTTTATGGGAGACACAATGACATCAAACATGGAAACTTTTACATGTTGGAAAAGCCTAATTTCTCATTATATAACCCACAAGACATGTTTCATTCTACTAACTAAAAGATAACTTTATGGCAGGAGCTACTGGCTGAACTCTGTATTTCTAAATATCAAAAATTTTGGGGGGGGTGGTAAATGAAAGCCAAAGTTATTCTTTCTCTCTTCAATTTCTGGAGACACAGTGAGCTTGATAACCTGATAGTAAGATGTGCAAAACACATGTCCAATTCTTTTTTTTAAATGAATTATTTTATTTTATATAATTGTTACATCATTTTTCATTTTTGCATAGTGTATACATTTCATTTTAGTTATATTCCCCATACAATTCCCACTCCCCTTTCCTGACCCTAATCCCTCTTCTCCTCCCGCCACCCTCCACATGTCCAATTCTTAGCTTTAAAAAAATATTATGTATATCTAACAAAAAGCATATTCCTACTCCTATGTCAGCTTAGTCCATATAATTACTTTTTCAGTTTGACACATTCTACTCTTTTACTAGAAAAGGTTGCAAACATAGAAGATTTCTGCTCAGAAAAATTATCTTGTATTTTGTTCCAAATCATACCTAGAGTGTCTTATGCCCACTATTAAACAAATTCCCCATTAAACAATATAAACTTCAAAGAGATGAAGGCTCTGAGTCAATACAATAAATATTGATTGACTGCAGCCTGGTAGTATCAAGTTCATCAATTATCCTTGCTTTATTAAATTTAATCAGGAATCATTCTCTTAAAAGCAATTAAAATATAGTATGGTTTAAGATACATTGCTATAAACAATTGAATAATTTTGCATCACACAACTGAAGTTACAAGTCCAAACTTACAGTGATAATATCTGAGAGGGCTCATTTCCTTGTTGTCTAAAATCCCATATTTTTAGCTGTCCAATGGAATTTACTGTAAGAATCTCAGGAGTTCGAAGAAAGGTTACAGCATGGAGCGTACTGCTATCTGCATTATCTACAAATCAAGAAAATGCAGTATGTGTTAATGGGTACTCTTTTCCCATGAAAATCTGAAATCCTTAAATCCTTCTATGGACTGAAATATTGCAAATGACATTTTAAATGTCACAGGTTAATTTCTATAGAAAAATGGAGTAATACAAGTTAAAATGGACTCGTAGAAAAATGGTCATTGGATACAGAACACCAGAACTGTTTTCTAAATAGAAGACTGAGCTCTCACATTTTTTTCTAGTTCTACTTAAGATTGTTACCCTCCCTCCCCAATTCCAAGACAGCTGGTCAGCTCTCATATCCAATTTTATTTCCCACTGTTGCTAGCCCAGAACCACTTTCTATTGGGCCAAACTGCAGTGCTTCCTACAGAGCCCACTCTGACCTTGTATTATTCTGCTGATTCATATTCTCAGAGTCATCAGTGTCCTCATTAATTCTCTCCTCGTCCACAAAGTCCTTCCTTTTTTCCTAGAGTGTTTAGAGCTTATTTCACATAATAGAACATATATGTAGAGACTTTTGTGACACTCCTCCACACTGCCACAATGCAATGGTCCTTAACAACTAAACCAGTGTTATTCCTCAGAAACAAAAATCATAATAAACAACACAAAAAATTGATTCCATGCATAGGAACTCTGATATAGGAGGTCTGGAGTGGTGAACAGTTAAAAACAAAAACTTCAGACAAGTCTGTATGAAGCAGCTGAAACCTACTACAGTAGAATAACCTTTTTAAAGCATGACATGGTGCAAAAAGTTTCAAAGACTCTTAGTTATCCTCCTAACGATATGCACCCTTTATAGCTGTGCATTAGACACTTTATAACTAGGCCCCAATTTAACATTTTTACTTTACCTCTAGACTCTACCATACAAATATCTAAAGGCAGGTGAACCTATAGTTTTGGTCTCTCTGAATACTTTTACCTGCCTCCACCCTAGTCCCATCTTTTAGTGTCACTAGTGGTCTAAAACCTAGATTAAAAATTGTCACCTGCTCCTATCTCTAGCGACCCCCCAATCAAAAAAAAAAAGTTTCCATCTCCTCCGTAGTCATTCAGTATAGGTCTTATTAGTACACTGTCTTGATAAAAGGACCCTGCTTTGTATATATGTTTTTATATCCCTCAAGACACCGAGCATTGTATGTACTTAACACTTAGATATGTGATGGGCAAAAGAAATATAGAGATTTTATCTTACCTATAGTTCTCACAGCTTCCTTGTGATCAGCTCGAAAGAGATTTATACGGCCATCTTCTCCAACCGTGACAATTTCTGGGTTATTGCACACAACACCTGTGCAAGGTGCGCCGCTACAGGAAAGACTGCCTGGTCCTGAGTGGTAGTGAGCTCTTGTCCACTGCTGGCTGACAGACAGAGTCTAGGCACCAGAAGAGAGGCTATCATATATTGAAGCAAAGCTCTTAAAAACTAGCACTTTTCTCCAACTAAAGAGTATTTTAAAATTCTGTCACACTCTTTTAGAAGAGTAACTCTCTGCTTCTTCATTTGTATTTCCAAGTATGAGAGTCCAGAAACTTCCATCAAAGCTCTGTACACACTGGATCAAATTCAAAAGGAATACTGCTCAATAATGTTCCGTATTTGTCTCAAACTAAAGAAATGGTTTTTAGGTAGCAGGTAGTTGAGTGTTGAAAAGCAGTTATAAATTCTTAAGAGAACTGGCCTACATGTAAGAAATTAATCTTTATAGCACTTTCTGAATGACTTCATTAAGAAAAACTCTTAGGAAGAGTTGGGTCTTATATTTACCAGGCACACCTACTAGCATGGTAAGTAACCTTTATTAATTCCCAAATCTAAAAAAAGCAGTCTTTTAGCTACTTAAAACTATTACTAAAAGTGCCGCAATTTTAAAGTCTTGAACTCACCACTCTATTTTAAAGAGTACTCCAGGGGTTTAGCATATAAGAAAGGCATTGAAAAATGTTATCTTTACATATATAAAGTGTACCATGTCTTCTAACTAAAACCTGGGTTTCATCTACAGAAGCAGAAAGTGCTTTTTCTTTTTGGAGGTACTTTTCTTCTTGAAAGACTAGCATAGGAACTTAAAGGAAAATCAAAGTAAAAAACTGTTTGCCAGAAAACCATACTGTTAGGTCTAAATCAAGATAATTTATTTAACATAAATTCAAAAAATTAAAAAAAGATCACACAACATGGTTCTAGGATTAATCAATCCACTAAAAGATGGGTAATATAACAATACTTTCCTCTTCATGCTTGGGGACCATAAAACCTCACTGTGTCATAATTAAGAACAATCTTATTTAAAAATTCCTAAAAATAATTAAAAAACAAATTCAGTTTTCAAATAAAATTTCTTTACCTGGTTATTTGGATGGTGAAGGAAAACTGTTACGCATCCTGTTGATGAAGCAGCTACAATTCTTTCCTGATCAAAAAACTAAACAGAAAATTCCTGCTTGGCATAATTTAGAAATATTAGTAGGAAAAAACCCATTTGTTTAGCTCAGTTACAATTATAATCATTTTAAAAAGAAAGAGCCAGGCCTCCCTGGTGGAGCAAGGGTTAGTTAATTCTCAGCACTATCAAGTATCAGGCTATTGCCAGCCACTGCAACATGGGTTCGATCCCCTGTCCAAGAAGAAGAGACAGACCTCCCGTCTTGCCTGCTGCTCCCCTCAGCAGTGTATTTCAGTCAATCCGCCCATTCTGTTCCCCATTCTGTCTCTGGTAAATCCTCACTGCCCCCCCACCCCGCACCTCTGGCTGGCACCCCAGTTCTTGTATGCATAAATAAATCATAAAAAAGTAAAATAAAATAACACTACATTATAAGATGCAGGGATTTTGAAATCATACAGATCAGGATTTGAAAACTAAAGTCATTTCCACCAATTACTACTAGTTTTGAAACTCTGGCCAAGTTAAGTTTTCAAACCTTGGGAAATCTTTAAAATGGGAGAATTAATCCCTACTTAGGGGTTGTTTTGAGAAGTCAAAAGCTAAAACATTTGTGCAAGGTGTACTGCTATAGGAAGGACTGCCTGGCCCCGTGTGGTAGTGAGCTCTTGTTCATTGCTGGCTGACAGACAGAGTCTAGGCACCTGTAGGGAGGAGATCATTAATCAAACCGAAGCTCTAAAATACTAGCACTTTTCCCCAACTTAAGTATTTGTTCACTCTGTACATGCACAAAAGATCTTTCTGTTCTCTCATTGGTAAAAACTGACAATACTTGATTCACAAACATATGAGGGGAATTAAATCAACTTATGTAAAGCTCCCCAAAGAGTGCATGACACACAGTAGATGGTTAATTAATTAAAAAACAAAAAAAAGAGGCCAAGTTTAAAAAAAAAAAAAACGAACAACAAAACACCACAAGGATTAAATGCAACTCCCCCTCACTGATTCAGCTGGTAAGTGGTTACCTTAAGTGACTACATTGATAATGTAGTGTGAACTGATTTTCCTGTAGTTTTGGGGTAAGACTAGACAAACTCTAAGATCCTTTACATCTTTAAACTCATTATTCTAATTTTTTAAAAAGTTAGTTTTGGGGTTTTACAGGCTTACTTGTAAATCCATGACATCACCATGGTGTTTGATATCACATAGTAACTGATGATCTCCTTCAAACCCACCATCTGAGTCCAAGTTCCCAAAATCTCCAATCGACCACAACGAAACATAATTTTCCTGTAAAGCAGAAAGATTTATCTTAAGATGAAACATCCATGAACTCTTGGAACCTAAATTTTACATTACCTTTAAGCAACCTTGCTTTAAAAGCATCTCAGACAAACGGTATGCTCAGAGTTTAAGACACATGAGATCCCAGGCTCACGCACAACCTCTCCAGCTGGAGCTACAGAACCCCCGGGCCCGAGCCTGGGAGACCGAGACCGGCCAGGGAGGGAGATTCCCGCGCGGGCGGTGCGGGGCGCGGAGCCAGGGAGAGGCGGAGCCAGGATTCCCCAGCCGGGAGTGCGGGTACCTCATTGTCCCAAGAACCCGTGGCGAAGGTCTCCGCGGTCTGCAGGCTCCCCGGGGGTACCGGGCGCCAGCGGGTTTTGCTGATTTTCTGAGACACGAACTTGGCATAAATCTCCTCCATGCCGAGAGCAGCCACGGCAGCCTCAGCAGCCACAGCGGGAAGCGCCGCGCGCGCCTCTCAGCCCCGCCCCTTCCCGCGGGCTCTGATTGGACAGGACGTCCCGGGGAGGACGGTGGCCGCCGAGAGTCAATTCTCTTCGGTCGCCGTGTGCGCACCACCTGCTTCTGAACGGAAGTAGGAGCGCCCTTCTTTGTGGAGGTGGCTTTGAACAGAGGCGAGAGCGTGAGAATCCTTGTAGGTCCTGCTCCTTATCTGCAAAATTATTATAGTATCGCAAAAAAAAAAAGGCATTTGTACAATAGTTATGCAACGTACATCAAATTTGAGAGCAACTAAAAAATAATGTAAGACAAACAACCTAGTAGCGAGTATTTCGTTTTGCACTTTACTGAGCATAGAGAAGATTAAAAATCCGTAAATTCTCATGAAGTACGCCCATTAGCGTACCAATTTGTTATTCTAAATCTTTTTCTCTTTACCTCACAGTTTCTTTACTTCAAAGTGGTAAACACACACATTGCCAGAGTCTGGAGTTGGGAAATCTTTAAAATGGGAGAATTAATCCCTACTTAGGGATTAATTAATCCCTACTTAGGGAGAATTAATCCCTACTTAGGGAGTCTGGGGTTGGAATTCTAGTGTTGACGTCTATTGTCTGTATAGCCTTCAATTCATTTATGTATATGATTTAAAATTCGTTCTTTATGTGATATCTACGCTCAGGAATCACTGCTTTCAGAGCCTTCTTTGCTTTTGATTGCGCCTTTAACATCTTTGCATTCTTCTCTACTTCTCAGAATCCTGCCCATCTTTCAAGAATCAGTACCTTGTATCTTTTCCTAATAAGTCCATAACGATCTAAACTAATAGCACTTAATATCTAAACCACTAATAACACTTATATTTTGTCCTCTGTTGCTAGTTTTCTTTTGCTGTGGACCTCCAAAATAAAAGAATGTAAATCCTGCTGCAGATGAGGTATGACTTATTCATAGGTCCTTTATATTATATCCATAATTGTATAGATTGTTTTCTTTAAGCGGGGCTTTGATTTTTTTTAAATCTGGTATTGGCAGCCCTATTTCACAGTCAAAGCTTATGGAATTACCACTCAGGTTAGCTTTAGAGAGTTGTCAGGATTTTTTAAAACAAAAGACCATTAGAAACTACTGAGATGCAATGAAAAACTATTAGAGCCCCAAACTGACAATTTTATTTCTTATAGGAAGAACACAGCTTTGAAAGTAATTTCGTTTATGGTCAGAGAACACCAGGAAATAGGTGATGCATATTTCGAACTGGAAGTGGGTTGTGTCACGTTTGGTAAAACGTTTCGAAAACTAGAATTCAAAAATTGCTGCTGACGCAGTAGTCCAGATGCCTCAACACAGCTTTTTTTCCCCTTCGTTAAGAGTTTATTGGACCTCGTGATGACTGGATTTTATCAGTCCCAGTTCTGACTGGAGTTTACGAATTGGACACGACAGGTAGGTATCTTTGTCAGTGTCCCACTTACTACATGATCTTGCGGAGCTGACAGCACTAGAGCTCTGATATTTGAGACTTAGCTGAAAACACACACTTGTATGGGGAGAATAAATCATTAACTACAGGATCTGGTGGTATTTTTAACCAACTGCATTTGCTCTAAGCATTCCCTCGGCTCCATTTCACCGCTGGTGTCATGGTATTCTTCCACTCTCTGAATTTGTGCCTTCAGAGTTGAGAACAAACCGGGGTACCCAAGTCTCTGCTAACAAAACTGTTACATATTTGTCACAAACCAAAGGCTAGAGGACCCGGGTTAGAGGAGGCCTGGGTTTTCTCGGTTCTAAGAGGATTATTCGTGCTCGGCCATAGGGAGCTGGGGCTCTAATCCACCTAAATAATAGCCGGCTGGGTTGGGCGAGGCGGGAGAAGGCTGGAGCCCACCGCCTAGCAACCTGGACAGCCATAGGAGCAGACCCGCGGCTCGCAACAGCTGACCCGGCGGCGGCTGCGGAGCCCCCGGCAGGGCGAACCAGATCCGGAGACGCGGCGGCACCGACCCGTCCGGCCCGCGGGGACGGGAGCTGCGGCCTCGCACGCGCCCGCCTACCCGCCCGCCCGCGCGCGGCCCCAGCCCGGAGGCGGCGTGCAGCCGAGAGCCTCAGGGACTGGCAGGCAGCGGCGGCGGTGGCGGCGCTGACTCAGCCGGGCTCCCCGCCGGCGCCCCGAGCTACGGCAGCCAGCGGCGCGGGCGACCGGGCGCGCGCCACCCCCGCCTCGGGCCCCACCCGGCCGCGCCCCGGGCCGCGCGGCGTCACAGAGCGCATGCGCGCCGCGGGGGATGCCGGGAGCGCGCGGTGGCGGCAGCGGCGGCGACGGCAGTCACGGCGGCGGCTCCGGCGGGGACGCGGGCGGGGCGGCGGGCGTGTGGGAAGTGGTCTCCCTCTTGGCGAAGCTGCTGGGCACCGTCGCCGCGCTGAAGGCCGTCCTGTACCTGCTCCGGGTGTGCCTAGCCATGGCCTGGAAGTCCGGCGGCGCCAGCCACTCGGAGCTGATCCACAACCTCCGCAGTAAGTGCCGCGGGCCGGCGGGGCGGCGGGGCAGGCCGGGCCCCCGGGGCCGACGGGAAGCCCCGGCCCCGACCCGCGCCCGGCGGAGGCCCGCGGCGCGGTGTGGCCCCGGCGGCCGCGCCCCGCGTCCCCCGGGACCTGTCGCTGCGCGGCGCCGGCGCCGGGAAGGGGCGCGCGGGAGCGCGGCCGCCGGGCCGGGCAGGGCAGGCGGGGGTCGGGCGCGGCGCGGGCCGCGGGGCTGTCCCCGGAGCCGCCGCCTGCGCCTCGGGGCCCGGCGGGCGAGGGGCGTGCCCGCGGGCGGGGGAGACGCGGGCCGGACCCCGGGGGCTGGGCCGGGACCCGGGGGCCTCGCCCGCGCCCCCCGCGCCTTCCCCCCTCCCTGCTGCGGAGCCGCCCCGGCCGCGAGCGCTTCTCCCGCTCCGCCTCCCCCGCCCTCCGGTGTTTCCCCGGAGGGAGATGCCGCCGTCTGATACCGGCGCGGGGAGGGAGAGGAAGGTGAGAGGATCGTCGTGGCAGTGCTCGGAGGCATTTCTGGGGCGACTGTCCAGTGGAAAGCTTCGTGGGGGGCGGAGGAAGAAAGAGCCAGGGATGCTGTTCCCGAGGGGTCATGTCTCAGGAGCCTGGTCGAGGTCCCGGCCCAGCGGACGGGCGTGTGTGTCTCTGATGCTCTAACTTTTCCTGGGGTCCCGTGTGCTCTAAAAGCCTTGTATGGAAGTTTCTGTTTTTCTCTTCAGTTATTGTAGTCCTTCCTCTGATAAGTTTCCTGTGGGACGAATGCTGTGTCACCTTTTCTTTTTTTTTTACATCGGAATACCGTGTCGGGTCTGGGAGACCTGGACTGCTAGTACTTTCCTTGTCGTTAACTTTGCAAATAATCCTATCCTGCCACGTGGTATTTTTGATTGTTACATGTCATTTAGCTTTTCGCGTGTTTGCCAGGTCGCCTAGTTTGGTTTGTGACCTCCTTGAGGGCTGGGACTTTTAAAATATCTTTGAATTCTCTTGAAGAACTTAATTCTCACTTTTTTTCCCCCAGAAATGCCAATTAAATGTACATTATATGCATGAATCTGTGCTATGGACATCAACATGAGTGAGAGAAATAAATAGCACTGCTGGCACATGACTAGTACTTAACATTGCTCATTTTCCTATTTTTAAATAATAAAATGGATATTTTACAATATAACAAGAAATTGTGTCCTTAGTGTTTAGCAGTGAAGGATGGTTAGATTTCAGAATTCTGTCGAGCATTGCCAGTATTCACTTTATGGAAGGATATTTGATTGGAAGTGGCTATTTATATGTTGAAGCAATATTATGAGGCAGTTTATGAAGTATAATGTAGGTTCTCATGGATTCCACATGTACTAAAGATGTAAATATTTTTATAGATTTCTTTAAGTGATCTAGTATCTGCTACTAGTGCAGTGTACGTGCAAAACATTCTACACACGAACTGTGATTAAGTAATTTTCCACTGGTAGGTTATCTCAGTAGATCCTTGGCTGTGGCAGAATTGTAATCAATCAGGCACTTAGAGAGTCTCCTTTTTGGGGCCAATTTCTAGTAAGCCAAGTCTAGATCTTTCCCCAATGGTTTTATAATCATTTTTTAAAAAGATTTATTTATTTATGCATACAAGATCTGGGGTACAGGCCAGAGGGGTGAGAGGATTCACCAAAGACAGAGTGGGGAGCAGAACAGGTAGACTGACTGAAATATACTGATGAGGGGAGCCTGGGCAAGTCAGGAGAGGTCTGCTGTACCATGTGGGTAGCTCCCTGGCTGGGGATCGAACTCATGCTGCAATGGCTGCGGATAGCTTCATAGGTTGTCTCTTAACCCCTTATGCCACCAGGGAGGCCCTTACAATCATTTTTAATGTACTATCACATTGCTACTCTTAGCTGAACCTTCTATGCATGTTTTCTATCAGAAAATTTAATAAAAAATATTTGACACATGACTATTGATATAGAAAAACATTTAGTTTTGTATTAGGTCTGTGATAAGAGGAAATTAGAGAACAAATTGTTTAGCTTCTTTTGTAACACTTGTACAACTTTAGTTTCAACTTCTTGTTGCATTAATTTTAGCTAATAGGCTATATTTATTATAAAAGTAATTTTTACTCATGTGAAATTCAGTTGGCACAAAATTGAAAAATTTCCCCCTTTCCTGGTTATTCCACTGTTGTAGCCACTAATTTAGAGGCTTCTAATGAAATCTGTAGAAAAGATTGAAATGTGATTATGTTGATGTTGAAGTAAAAAGAAATCTGCAAATTGGAAAAGGGGGTGAGTGCTGAGGCTCCAGAATGGTATTTCTCACAAGTTCTTGAATAAGGCTGGTGCTGCTGCTCCAGGGACTGCAGTTTGAGAATCACCGACATAGAGAATGAGAAATTAAAATCTTTCACTCTGCCTCTGTTTCAGCTGAATCACTTATGTGCTTCAAAATAAAGCTTTAGGAAAAAAGCCTAGAGAAGTTCTGACCAATAAAGCTCTCTGTAATGTCTGTATTTGAGCTGCTCAATGTGATAGCTACTAGCTCCATGTGGCATTGCATTGTTAGTGCAACTGGAGAAGTGGATTTTTATGTTAATTAAATAGGATAGGACAAGCCTATAACATGAAAAATGCAGTTATTTTATAATTATAGGTGATAATATCCTCATGAAACAAATTAATTTAAACCAACTGTGAGCCTGCTAAACCCAGGAATGTTGTTTAAATATTTATGTTAGAGTCATTTTCTACTTTATTATAACCCACTTTATTGGGTTAATTTTAAGCCATGGTAAAGTTTAGGAAAAGATGAAGGTGTAGGAGTAGGTGAGGTTAGGAGAGGTCGTCTCCTGGAGCCTGGGTTTCGAACCCAGAGCGCTTGAGGAAGGTTAATTTTAACTAACAGACTTCAAATGATGTACTGGCCACTTAAAACAATGCTAACAAATTGTTCTTTTACCTGTTTTCGTTTGTAAAGATAATCAGTCCACTACCCTAATGTGTCAATTATTTCTTTTACATCCTTGATTGACTCATTTTGCATATATAATATTTATGGTTTGTCATTCGGTCAACTGATGTTTCACACTTTTTCAGGCCAGAAAGTGGGGCTATTTAAGTGAATAAAATAGACATCTGTTTTCTCTTGTTGCTTTCTTCTAGTGAAGGCAAATGAATAAAATACATAGTATGGCACATGATAAGTGATAAAGTAGGGAAGGGGTGGATAGCGAGTATGGAGTAGTCAGTTTGCAGTTGCAGGGGAGAAGGCCTCACACTAAGGTGTCATTTGATCAAAGGTTTGGTGGTGAGGAAAAAACTCAAGCCATTCAGGCAGAGAAAATAGCAATAGCTAGATTGTATTTGGGGTATGAGAGAAAGATTGGAGTCAAGGAAAGATTTTAGGCCTGGGAAACTGGGATGATTTGTCATTTTTTCAATTGAAGAAAGTAAGCAAGAAGGCAATCTGAAATTTGTGAGGATTGTGCAAGGAGATGTGAGAATGCAGTTTTGCAGTTTATTTGGGGGAAAGATATGTTTCAGATACTTATAAAACATTTAAGTGGAGACCTCTGACTATGTAATAGTGATGGTACTAAGTAATTTTTATATATTTAACTGTTTTTACTTTTTCAAATAAATTGAAATTATTTTCTTATTCTATTTAGAGTGTTACTTTGTAGTCACCTATATAGTAGTAGGAAAGACAGAATCCTAAATTCACTATTTTCAGAAATTAGGACCTAATTTAGAATCCAGAAAAATACCTTATTATTTTAATTTATTTAAACTAAGTCTTGACATATTCTAGTAAGTAAATTTACAATGAATTGAACAAGATAATTTATATGACATTTTGAGGAAATTTTAATAATCAGTGTCTATATTTTAGTTATAAACTGAAAATTAAAAATTCAGTTTCTCAGTTGTACTAAACACATTTCAAGATCTTAAGCGCCACGAGAGGCTTATAGCTAGCATGTTGGACAGTGCAGATAGAACTTATAAGAGTTTCTATTGACCAGCACTAGTTCTAGGTGCTACATTCTATTTAACATGATCTTAGTTCCATTGTGCTATTCCAGATATTGTTATTAGTATTGCATTCAAATCTGGACAACATGTTTTAAAAGTAGTGGTGAAAAACTGATGATTATCAGGTGTCTCCCTGGTGGCACAAGGGGTTAAGACACAGCACTATGAAGCAATCTGCAGCCCCTGGAGCACCAGTTCGATCCCTGGCCAGGGAGGTGACCCACATGGCACAGCAGACCTCTCCTGACTCGCCCGCTGCTCCCCTCAGCAGTGTATTTCAGTCAGTCTGCCTGTTCTGTTCCCCATTCTGTCACTGATGAATCCTCTCACCCCCTGCACCTCTGGCCTGTACCCCAGTTCTTATATGCATAAATAAATAAATCTTTAAAAAAAACAGAACTGATGATTGTCAGACAAAGGTGATCAAGATGACAAGAAGGGTCAGGATGTTATATGATGATTTGATGAGATTGAGGTGGTTTGGTTTAGCAGCAAAAAAGTCTATTTAGGGCCTCCCCAGTGGCGCAGCGGTTGAGCACTGCGGCGCCGGTTCGATCCCCGGCTGCTCCCCGGCCACGGGAGGAGGGTCCCACACGGGGCGCAGACCTCTCCTGCCGCCCGCTGCTCCCCTCAGCAGTGTACTTCGGTCCTTCTGCCTGCTCTGCTCCCCGCTCTGGCTCTGGTGAATTCTCTCACCCTCCCGCGCTTCTGACTGTACCCAGTGCATATATAAACAAAACAAAACAAAACAAACAAACAAACAAATAAATAAAACATGCCTCTATTTAAAAAAAATTATAATAAAAAAAAAAGTCTATTTAGTTGAAGAAATGTTGTGTAGGAGAGGGTCAAACCAGGACAGATAGGAGGCAGATTTTGGCTCATTATTTAAAAGTATTCACAAAGCTATCCTAACAGTCAAAGAATTGGCTTTGAAAAATAGTGTTTTCTGTC